ATGGAACACATCGCCCTGTTTTTCTGCTGGCGATTCCATCGTCTTTTCCATAACACTTCAATTTTTTCTGCATAAAAAAATTGTTCTGCTTTCTTTTTATCAGCCACCTACAACTCACGATTTATAGTAAGAGATTTATGTTAAAAATACTTTTTTTTCTCTTCAGAATTTAATTAAAAACCGAGGCATAGCCAGTGGACAGATAACATCTCTCAAAATACACTACACTTGTGGTTCCCTCATTAGTAGGCACAGATACTGTAATAGAAAAAGGCTCCATGAAAGCAATTGTATTATTCACATTTTGGTACTGTTATGTAACTTTAACTCATTGAGGACCACGGCAGTCATTCTGGAACCAAATTATAAGCCTAGGAACTCAACTGTTGCTGAAAGTTTAGTGAAGATGCAGAGATGTTCTTGATCTTGACAATGCATTGACATTTGTTCAAAGTATTTGCTTTGGCTATCCACGTGAGGGTTGTCAGGGTTGCAAATGGAATAGCGGTCAACGTACGTCAACACTGGGGAATGGAACATTTTTCCATTTATTGCATTAAGCGCCTGTATCAGTACGCTCAGTTCAGGTGTGAAATAAGGGATGTCATAGCACGGTACCTTCACCTTAGATTTAAGCTATTCACAGGAGAGCCAGCAATAGAATCAGATAAATATTTTCATATTAAACTACCGACGTAACTGTAATTTCACAATGGTGCAAGGAGTGTTCTCTCAATGCCCCCCACTCCAAAAATAAATAATAATTTGGTCACTCCATCCACAACTGTTTGTGAGACACTGTGAGTAATTGGCTGTTGTGTTTCGCCCACAAAATATACAGTAATTTCACTTTAAAGTATATTCTGTGACACGCTCTAAGACATCTCAAAGCCACGATATTAAATACAAGGATCATTAGGTTTATTATTATTTCAATATACCTGCATCATGCATGCACATCGTAGGGGAGAGAGAGAGAACACGAGGAGACAGAGAATAATAATCCAAGGGGCCTTGTTATGCCACTGCCAACAATCATTCATTCACCTCACAACTATGGATTATTAATTATTATTATAATTCTGGCAAGATGCTGTCATTACATTATTCTGGTCAGATTCATACACATGTCTCGGAGGTATAATGCTGCCCCGCCAATGGTTATTCGGATGAAAGAGAAACAAGGGTGCAATTTTACAAGGTGTAAAATCAGGTGCTTACTCCAGTTCCCTTCTTGGAAAACATCCAGTATGTAAGTGAAGTAAGTAGGAGGGAGTGACACTAAACCAGTCATTGATAATTGAATGTTTCAATTTGGCGGGGACGGAGAGAGGGGAATATATCCACAATGTAATTTATCCATCAATAAAAAGTAAGCAATAGGCTCCACAAACCCATCACCTCCATCCTTGCCCAGCTCCGCTGGCTCTCCATCTCCCAGCGGATCAAGTTCAAAGTTCAAATTGAAAGTGAATAACGATGTCTATTAATTCCCATATTGGATCTTTGGTAAAAGAAAGACTGTTGAGATTATCAGAGGAACGGTAATAATTCCTTTCAAATATATAAAAACAATTAAATCCACGACTGTTTGTGGGTCACTGCTGCCGCGTTTCGCCCACAAAATATACAGGCAATTCACTTTACAGTATATTCTCTGAAGCGCTTTGCGACGTCTCAAAGGTGTGATAAGGTGCGATATCAAATGCAAGGATTATTATTATTATTAAAATCCTCTTCCTAACCTTTAAATCCCTCCATGGTCTTGCCGAACCTTACCTCTGTGACGTCCTCAAAATCTACAAACCTGGTTGCTCCCTCCCCCCGCATTGCCCACCCCACCATTGGCGTGTGGACATTCAGCTTATCTGCCGTCACCCTACATAACTCCATCCCGGAGTCCCTTCGACTCACCACTTCCCCATAAAATATACAGTCAATATACTTTACAATACATTCTGTGAAGCGCTTTGAAACATCTCAATGACGTGATAAGGTGCTACATCAAATGCAAGGATTATCAACATTATTATCTATTATTGCAATTGAACAGAGCTGGAAACACACCACACTTTCAGGTGAAAGTAACACAAAGAAGCCTTTTATTCTGAATAAATTTTATTCCTTTTTTTTAAAACAATCACAGACAGAATACAAAGAATTTCAGATTCTGAGCAGAAGCAATAAAGAACAGCTGTCCGTCACCTCCAGGACACAGTGTCAACGCTGGGGACCTTGGCGCAGGATGTAAGAGGCCACACTTAGTTGCAAGGTAGTTACCCAGTTTACTTTTTCTTGCACAACTGCTTACAATCTCTTGACAGTCTTGACAGTATGCAACGTGCTGCACATATGTGTGTGTATTTTCTTTTAAGGGATACAAGCCCAAGATTCCAAGCAGAATGTTTTAAACGGAAAAGAGAACTCTCTGGAAAAATTTCACGTACGTAACACAAAAAAAAATACACCAAACAGTGAAAGACTGGAGCACCCCTTTTTACAATCACCAAAAGCAAGCAAAGTCTTCAGACATTATCCCAGAACTTCATGCACCCATTTGAACCGAACATCTGCTTGTAAAGAATACTCTTACCCATTTGAAATGCGTGCTTAACATCTGCCCGCGACACATTAAATGGGGATTTTGTTTCAAAAAAAGAAAAATGTGATATTTAGCCAATGCACTGCAATAGGAGTCATAGTACCACCTACATTATTTAAGTGTCAGCCTGGCTCAGTTGGTAGCCTATCACCTCTGAGTCAGAAGGTTGTGAGATTCAAGCCCTATATCAGAATTTGAACTCACAGTTGAGGCTGACCCACCAGTGCAGTGATAGGAGGAGCACTGTATTATTGGAGGTGCCATCCTTCAGATTTAAATGCAAGTTGTTCCTTGCATGCAAATTGGTGGTTGCATTCATCTACAAAATACACAGTCATTGCACTTTACAATATATCCTGTGAAACGATTTGCGAAGTCCTCCTGACTTGAAAGGTGCGGAATCAAATGCAGGGATTATTTCATTTAATTTAGTAGTTAAAAGATTGTAACTGAAGCAGCTCATGGTTTAAATTTTTGCTACAAAAATCGACATTAATATTCCTATAAGATAAGGAAAGACAGGCACAGTAGGTTGGGAAAGCACCTCATAATAGTCCTCCTGTGGACTGGTGTCAGAGCATCAGCAGAGAGAGATCTCAAAGCACTCATTAAATTGATACAGAGCACAAAACAGCAATGTCGATAGGGTCTAAATCAAAACTTTGCTAATAATTGAACTTAGTTTCTCACAAGTCCAATTGGGTTATCAAGAACAGGCATAAATGTTTAGCTCTTGGTGAAAAAGAGAACAAAAGGAAAGCAGAAAGCATTCTGATATCAAAAAACAAATGAATTTCACTCCTTCTACTGGGTGGCTTTTCACTTAATTCAGTTACATTTTATGAGTCTCCATTCAAACCTGGTTCCTATACATCATACTGCTTTAAATTAGTTCATGTTATATCATTCTCGTTAACTCCTTGAAATTTTGTACACCTACAGCAGTACATTATATTACACTTCTTTATAAATCCTCCTATGTTTAAAAGACAGCACCCGATGCAAACCTTCAGTGACCAACGCGTGATATAATATATCAAGCCAAAATCATCCCAGATAAATGGATTATGCAATCCATGCACCCAGTGTCCTTATTACACACTATTATTTGGCTCCCAAACAACAGCAGTCGACGGCATGTTATTATTCTGTGTGTTGTGCAGTCGTCTGATTTCACAGAAACACAGAATCTATAGGATTCAGCAGAGCTACGCACAGCTTATTAATAAAGTCGTGAATAATATCTACACAGACTACATAAGTTTTAAAGGCAGCCAAGTTACTTCCCAAATATAAAATTCTATGCGCTAACACATCAGATTTTTTTATTTGAAAGCATTTTGCTTTCATGACCTTTTATAGTAAATCATGACCTTTTATAGTAAATCTTATGCAACATTTTAAGATAATTTGATGATGTGACAAGACACTGTATCAAATGCAAGGATTATTAATTTTTTCCCCCCATCGGGACTTTTGAACTCACAGTCTAGGCTGACACTCCAATACACTCCTGGGGCTTTGCAGTATTATTGGCGGCACAGGCTTTCAGATGAGACATTGAACCAAGATCCCATCTGTCTTTCCAGGTAGAAATCCCGCAATGCTGTTCGAAAAGTGTAGGGAGGTTTTCCCGCTGTCCTGGCCATCAATCCTCAAATAAACGTCGGAACCCATAACGTCTAAACTGACACTCAATGCTTTGCTGAGGGGTGCTGTATTGTCAGAGTTGTTGGATGAGACTTTAATTCAAGGTCAAAAGTATTATTGTTAAGATTCATTGACAATCCACATCCAATTATCCTGGGGCATTTTGTACCAATCTCCCATAGTGGTGAGGTGGTAGCAAGCAGAAGGGATAAAAATTCCATTTAGCATTAAAATCCTGACTGGGTGCTAGAGGATTGCTGGAAGCAATTCATGGCTCAGATTAATACAGACTAATGGCTGAATGATAATCTTTATAGTTCACAGAAGCATTTCAACTTAATTCCTCCCTTTCAATCTATTCCATCAATCTACTGGGTTTTATGATAGATCCTTTGTACTGCTGAATGACACATTCATCATTAGGTGTCAAGGCAGCTCAGTTGACAGCATTCTTGCCTCTGAAGCACAAGGTTATGGGTTCAAGTTCTATGTCAGGACTTTAAACTCACACTAGGCTGATACTCCAATACAGTGCTGAAGAGAACTACATTGTCAGAAGTGTCAATCTTCAGATTAGACATTAAACCAAGGACCCATATGTCTGTTCAGATAAATATTAAAAATATCATGGCACTATTAAGAAATAGAAGGGAGTTTCTCCTGGAAGCTTGGCCGACAATCTCCCAGATAAAATTGGTCATTCAATTCATGGGCTATTTTTGGGACAGTGTTGTGTGCAAATTGGCTGCTGCATTCGCCTACAAATTTTCTATAATTCCTGTGAAGAGATGCTTTGACAATGAAATAAGGCATTAAATTAAATGCAAGCATTGTTATTGTTATTTGCCTGAAATTTCATTTTGCCTTAGCCCGCACAACCATTTTGTTTTAAGATTTAAGATCAGGCAGAATTGTGGAAAATTCCTAGATGCAGTTTGGAAGACAGTTCTTTTAAAGAAACTCAGAAACCTAGCTTCCAAATTCAGGCAGAACTTAATAATTTTCAACAATTATGCACGTTCAAAAATATTAGGACAGTCTATGGTGGAATTGGTGGAAATTTCAAGCCCCATCAAATGTTATCTTTAGCTATCATTAGATTAAGAGTCTACTTATTCCTACATTGGACCAGTTTGGCCAAAATCTTCCAGGTAGATTTATTTCCAACCTCAGGGCAAAAACCTACATTACACTGCTGTAAATTTCTCCAAGCAGCTTATCCTGATGTCCTCACTGAATGGAGACAACCCAGGGGACATGTGGGCACTGTGCATTGTGTCAAGACTGGTCAGTCTCATCAAGAGAGAACCAGCAGATAGAGAGGTCATTCATCACGTCACTTTGGACTGGTGTTTAATCCAGATTAAAGCGTTCTTTTTGGTTGGTATGGTTCAAAGCTTCCAAAAAACCGTTTTTTCTCAACATTATTGAGAAAATTCACCACGCGACTGGATGTTTTATAATATCACTAAAGGAGGCCCGACTTCAGTGCTCAAAGCACGCGCCAAAGCACGGAGGCTCAGAACTCTATCACCTGCAGTTCGGTTTTACACGGCCCCGATTCGAAAGCGACTAGAGAAGCAAACATAACATCAGCTTCCCGCTGCCAGCACTAACCACACAGCAATTGGGGTTTTGATCCCCAATCTCACAGCATAAACTCAGGCGCCCGCTTTGCATAGCAAGCTTATGCAAAAGACCATGGACCACATTGCGGGCAAAGATTTGGGGGCGAGATGAAGGAGCAATTAACATAAAAAAAGCAGAGAGAATCAACTTTCCGGAATAACTGTGCTGGAGAGTTTCATTAGGATCAGAACTGGGGGCTTAATTAAAAAACAGGATTAATCAAATGGAAAACATTGAGGGCTAGATTTCAAACTCAGTAACATCACCACAATTTGAATGCTAATGGGATTTCTCCACATGACTAACAGGGAGAGGTGGGATGTGACTGTTACCTTTGGTGTAGAAACAGGGAATTTAACCATTTAGTGGCACTCGGAAACAAACTGCCAATAAATGACCCCTTAACGGGATAGCAGATACTCAAATTAGCTTATAAACGCTTGATCCCCAAAGCAGGGCAGGAGTTACGAACAACCCAGGGATATTTTCAATCCCAGCTAAAAAAAAATAAATAGGAAAGAGAGAGAAAAAAAAACACGAGCAAACATAATCACACACGCACGCACATAAAATTCCTCTTTAGAATAACAAATGTGGAAGCCTGGAAGTATTTATAGATACTCCGCACCAGCGGAAACACAATAAGATTTACCTTTGAATATTAGCTTGCCCTTTGTGATAACAGCAGTTATAAAATGTAGCCCTCAACACATTTTGTTTTGCAGAGTTGAGTTAGCGATTGCGCAATGAGCACTGCTCATTATTTGGACGCCCCACCGTGCGCAACCACAGGTTAACATCCTCTGCAAGGTTGCTGGTGGCCGCGGAAAGCACCCACTGAATAGCGTTAAGAGAATTTCCATACCCGTAACATTGTCGACCATGTTATTGGAAAGCAGCGCATCGTAGAACGGGTGAAAGCCGAGGGAAGTATTCAATTAGTGTCAAACTAATCCAAACGGGAATTAATGATTGGTCACCAAAATCATTCGCTGTCGTACCCTTATTTGAAAAATAGAGTTAGAAGTATCCCAATCGATCCTACTTCACATTTATCCCAAGAGATTTGGCGCTTGCCTTCTGGAATCTATTTTAACCCACACTACACAAGATTTGACAAGGAGCGACTCTGATCACAGATCAGAGCCCAAAAGCAGCACCGCTTACGGCATCATAGTTCGTCCCGAAAGGCGGTGTCAATTGGGGGTGGGGGATGAAGTGCGTCCGTGTTCTGGGCTTCAGTGCTGATCTCCCCTTGCTCCCTGGTTTTCCTTGAGTGCTTGCGGTTCCAGTCTGTAGGCACGTTTGTATTGTCCCAGATTGTGGAGGTTTCAGTGTCACTGAAGTAACCCTCTTCTCCGGTGTAGTGTGTCGGGAAAACCAACAGCGGCTCAGCTGAGAAGGCTTTCAAGTCTCGAGGCTTGTAGAATTCCATGTAATTTTTCCTGCGAAAAATAGAATCAGAGACCATCAGTTGTTTTAAAAGCCAATTGGAGAAACGCTTCACAAAGTAATGCATTATATAAAAAAAAAGCTTGCCAGACAGAGATATCAATGGCAAGCTATGTGGTTTAGCTGGTTAGACGCCAGCAGTACCCCAACACACACTTTCAACCACCCAAGTCAGGGCTTTGAATCACATAGTATTTAGCAGGCACAGGTTGGTGGGAGCCAAGACTTCAGGACTCCAGAGTTGGGGTAACTCCTGGAGTTTAATCATCTAAAACCATATAGCTTGCCAGTGAGACATTGGTTGACACCGAAATAGTGCTGGGAGTGCGCTGTTTTGTTAGAGATGCCATTCTTCAAATGGAGACATTAAACTGAAGTCCCTTCATTCTTAAAAGATAATGACAACAATAATTATTCATATATTTGATATTACGCCTTTCATTCTAGGGAGATGCCTGAAAGCACTTAACAGAATTCACTGTAGTGACTGCAGACTGTATATTGTAGGCAAGGATGGGTTTTGCTAGATCCAGTTGGTCAGGAGACAGACAGAATGGTGTAATATTTTTGGTATTCCACTGTTGTGCTACATCGGTTTCAATATTTTGGTTCTATTTATTTTACATTTGCAATGAAAGGCATTTCAATTGAATCTAGGAGCTCGGATGGAGTGAAACCTTACAAGGCATGGCTTTGTCCCACTTCACTTGTGTGTCAGCTGGAGCGGAGTGTGTTTCTAAACCAAGTGAGAGCCAGGGAGAGGAACAATGCTCTGCATTATGTGTGGAGCCCCAGCTCTATAGAGAGAGTGACAGAGCCACTGTGCCAAAGCTCCCCTCGCAGATAGACTGAGAATATACACTGTGTCAGTCCATCTCTCAAGGCAAAGGAATGTTTAAACAACTGTGATAGTAACATCATAAAACTTGGCAGATTGAACATTCAGCTTAATTCGTTATGTTTTAGTTTAAATACATTTTTTATACTCCCTTCCCTCTCTTTTTGTTTTCTTAATGGATTGCCTGCTGCCACGTACGATGCTCTGTCAGGAAATGGGTCCCTCCCAACAACTCTTCATGTGCTCTTGAAGGCGAACACACTGCTAATAATAATAATAATAATCCTTGCATTTGATATAGCGCCTTAATTCGTCTTCAAGACGTTGCAAAGCGCTTCACAGAATATGAAGTGAATTGACTGTATATTTTGTAGGCGAAATGCGGCAGGCAATTGGGTACAGCAGCGTCCCACAAACAGTTGTGGATTGAAGTGACCCATTTATTCTTATTTTTAAAACCTTGGCGAGTTTCCCTACTGCACAAGCCTCTGTTTATCTGGGGGGGGGGGGCTTTTTTTTAAAAAAAGTTGTCATTCAAGCCACTGCTCCGTGCAACTGACTGCTGAGTTTTGCCCACAAAACACAGAGTCAATCCACTTTATAATAATATATTCTGTGAAGTGCATTGAGACGTCTCAAAGAATTCTTGCTGTATCAAATGCAAGGATTATCATTATAATAAAAAGAGCCATCACAGTGAAGGCCTGATCTTCAGTAACTTACACGGGATGTTTGTTGTACATGATGGGGAGAAATTCATCCACCGGCAGCATCTTCCCGAAAGGTTCAGCCGCCAGCAGCTTCTTGGACCCCTGCAGGGATATGATATAGCCCAAAGTCCAGTAGGAATAATCCGCTTCCACCAGGTTCTTAACGCCAGGCACGGACTTCTCCGGCCTTTCCACCTGCATCCGCTTCCGACCGATGTAACTGGACCAGGCAATAACAAACAACAGGGGAAGGATGGTCAGACCTGGTTTAAACTGGATGTCAAACCCATCATCATAACAGCTGATGGCACAGAAATTATTTGTGCCATAAATCCAGACACACGTCTAAATAGCAACCAAGCGACACGTCGGGAATGATTGGGGATTTGTGGGTCACAGCAATGCTCACAGAATAGAAAGCTGATACCCCTTTGCTCAACAAACACTGTCCTGAATCAATTCTCCATTGTACCTGCCCCACCATCGGAGGCTGGGCTTTTAGCCTATGTGCCCCCCACTTTCTGGAACTCCAACTTGTGCCTCAAACTCTCTCCACCCCTCACCTCGTTCAAGGTCCATCTCAAGACCTATGTCTTCGTTTGCGCTTTCAGCTATTTTTCCTTTCCCCACCCACCCCCTGGCTTCCACCCGCAGCTCGGGTGCCAAGTCAGTTGCGAAGGGCAATTGTAGGTTAAGACACCACAATGTTTTTCCTTTACCCAGAGAGTAATTAACGACTGGAACAGGTTGTCAGGAACAGTGGTTGAGACCAGAATGCTGGACTTGTTTAAAAATAGTGTAGATTATGTTGTGATTGGAAGATGTTAGGATAGCATTGTGGAAGGATGAGATGAGATGTGATCAAGCGTTTTTAAAGGAGATCAATAGATATTTGGGAAATAAGGGTATTGTGAGTTGTATAGCCAAGGCAAGGAGTCCTGTAGCTCAGTGGTTAGAGCACTCGCTTTGCAAGTGAGAGACCTGAGTTCAATTCCAGGCAGAGGGCGAAACCTTGGGCAAGTTTCCTTACTCCACACAGAGCCTAATAATAATCCCTCCAAAAAACCAAAAAGAATAATAAATTGGTCATTTTCAATCTACGACTGTTTGTGGGACATTGCTGTGCGCAATTGGCTGCCGCGTTCGCCCACAAATATACAGTCAATTCACTTTACAGTGTGTTCTGTGAAGCGCTTTGGGACGTCCTCCCGACGTGAAAAGCGCTATATCAAATGCAAGGATTATTTATTATAAGGAGGTAGAGCTGCAAAGAGATAAAGAGCTGCCATGAACCAGTATAAAGCAGAGCACTCATGTATTTGAGTTGCTTAACATCAAAAAGGTGTTTGAAGTTGATTCTGTTTTACAAATTGATAATTCATGAAATAATAACCTTATGAACAGAATAGTAAAGTAGCATTCAATGTACAGCATGACATTCATTCAGTTGTTGCTTATGTGCTAACTATACTAATAAGCCAAACCAATTTACTCAGTCTGGTGAATTACTGTTCAAATGATGGAAAATCCAATTAGGAACACATACCAGCAGGTATCTGACCCCAATAAGAGAAGGATACTGGGCTGTTCTCCAACACATGACACTCTGTGGACACCTAGTCTAGTCTTGCAGTATTAGGCTGAGTTTTTTTTGAAATCGTTTAAATAGTGTTAGACTCACATCAGATCCCAGTCCAGCTGACTGTCTTCAACATCCGCCATTAGTTTCATTATCTTTTTCCGAAACTGTGGCTCAAACCTCACATCATCTTCCAACACAAGGGATTGCTTCAGATCTCGATCAACCATCTAGACAAGAGACACAAGGACGTACAGGGTTCAACCCACATCAACAACAACTTGCACTTATATGGCGCCCTCCAGGGCAGCGTCTCAGACTGTTTAAAACTTGTGTATGAGAGGTAAATAGAAACATTGGAATAGCACAATAAAATAATAATAATCCTTGCTTTTGATATGGTCCCTTTCACATCAGGAGGATACCTCAAAGCAGTTTGTAAGATTGAAAGCAAAATGTAATGACCGTAATTTTGCAAGTAAATGCGATATCCAGTTTGCACACAGCAATGTCCCACAAATAATAATAATAATAAAATAGCTCTGAAGTGACTGACCAATTTTATTTGGGGGATTGTTGGCCAGGACGCTGGGGGAAATCTCCCTCCTCTTTTTGAACAGTGTCATGGGATCCTTAATGCCCACCTGTACACCTGAACAGGCAGATGAGACCTTGGTTTAATGTTTCGTTCCAGGAACGGCACCTCAAACAATGCTGCGCCCCTCCAGCATTGGACTGGAGTGTCAGCCTGGACTAGAGGTGGCCAAACTTGGCCCGCGGGCTGAAAGTGGCCCAGGGATGGTGAAGAAGTGGCCTCTCACCTGAACATTCACACGAGTCTAGGTAAATCCGTGTTCAATCGGTAGTGTAGTGTTTTCGGTTTTTGCTTGATTGAATATTTCTTGATTTAAGGTATAAATAAACATTCAATCAAGAAAAGGTATATTGTTGAACAACTATAAAGGTTGGCCACCACTGGCCTAGACTACGTGAATTCAAAATCCCGACATACAGGAGTACATTTGCCAAAATTATTGAAAAGCTGGGTTATTGCAATACAAGATCTGAGAGGGAGAAGCTGATGGAGGGGAATAGGAACTAGGGATTAGAGGAGGCAGAGGCTGGTGTGGAGTACAAACACTAGCATTGACTAGTTGGGCTGAATGGTTTCTGGCTGTGACATTCCCTGTGTGTTAAAAAAATCAATTAAGTCATTTCAAAAATACCGAATGGCACCGATTTTTGCCTACCTAAAAACACGATGGCAGTGGGGAAAATAACCAGAATTGTCCTGCATTCCTCAATCTCGGTGTAGTTTAATGGAGCGGATTTGGTGTCAGAATCAGTAGCAATGCTAAACATTCAGTGTCAACTCAAGTATAATTTAGCATTTTGCAAATGGGCCTCTGGGGCTTTCTTCATTCCAAACACCTCTTGTGATTAAACTGACTCTCTTTCCCTCCTTCATGTGAAACTAGTTAATTTAAGCCTTGTGTTTCCCTGTCACAGCTGCAGGTGGCGCTACTCTCTTTGTTAAACACTTCTGTTTCCCTGCAGCAATTCTCCTCTAACTAATGACTGTGGTCAGTGCTTGTTTGTCTGGTTATTCCAACCTGTTATTACCACACTACCTCATCTGTTCTCAAACCTACTCATTCTCAAAGTTGGCGAATGGAGCTATTTTTGAGCAGCGTTTTCTTAAAAACAGATGTCTACATCCAGAGCACAAGCTGAGGAAAGACATGACAATATGCACTCCTCTGACTGGACTTGATGTGTGCAATGTAATGTATAAGCCCTGTGCCTGTATCTTGGCAATTCCAAAGTGGTGTGTAACTGTAGAGGTATTGGGATCTAATTTGCGGTATTTCTCAACAGCGTTCCTTAATAAGAAATCATGTTAGAATTCCAATCAACAGGATGGAAGTCCGCTCTGGAAATGGCATTATTGGAAAGGATTCACATTTACTCAACTCAGATTCTTTATTAAGGAATCCCATTAAGAACTATGGGATTGAAAAAGTAAACCTGGAATAATACTTTCAGATGCACAGAGACGAGAGAACAAGAGAACATAGGTTCAGGGTTGCAATGCACAATTTTAGGACAGACATCGGTATTTCTTTATCCAGAGGGTAATTAATGATTGGAACAAATTATCGGAAAGGGTGATTGAAGCCGGGGTGCTGGACTCAATTAAAAAAAACAGCTTGATGCTATGATGGGAGGACATGAGGTAGGTAATCTGGAAGGACATGTTCAAATAGGCTAAAGGGCCATCTTCATCTGAACTAATCTTGTGAATTTCAGGCCAATTGTCTCAGTGATGGATGGAGAATGTCTAACAATACAGCCTCCAAGAAAATTCGATGGAGCAGACAGTCAGTGTTGTCTTACCTCTTTCCAAATGTAGTAATGGCTCAAGAAGCAGCCAATTTCTCCTCGTGTCAATATTCTCCCTGAGTACGGGTCCTGGTATCCAGGCAGCATTTCTATGTTCAGTGCTTTGAGATGGCTTGTGTTCAGAGCTCTGTCAGTGGAAACAGGCAGCGTGTTATTATGTTGCATTTCTTTTCAAGTCTCAGTGTAGCATGCGTACTTTGTTGCCCTGTAATTATAATCTGAGATTAAACCAGGGAAGTATTCGTCGGTCTGTTCAGGTGAACGTTAAAGATCCCACGGCACTATCTGAAAAGTGAAGAGAGTTTCTCCCGGTATCCTTGCCAACAATCCTCCAAATAAAAATTGGTCACTCGCTCCATGGCTGTTTGCGGGACGTTGCTGTATTCAATTGGTTGCCCTGTTTTGCCCACAAGATACACTTTACAGTATGTCCTGTGAAGCGCTTTGAGACATTGAAATGATGTGATAAGACACTACATCAAATGTAAGAATTATTATTATTGTTAAGGGTGCCTGTAATTCTTTCTTTCTCTACACATGCGTTTGCACATGGTGCATAATAGACCCTATGTTTGAGGGAAGAACAAGTAACCCAGGTATTCACTGCTGCTTAAATTCTGCACTAGACACTGTTAAGGTGATTCACTGTGAGATGTACGGTATAAACTAGTGTGGATCTGTGCGACTTTGAAATAGTGCATTCGTTGAACATTCAACACTGTCTAAACTGCTAAATAGACAAGCAATACGAGCTTGATATTACAGATCGTGGAGGCATGGGTGGTCGGGAATTGAATTTTACAAATAACCTGGAACTGATTCAGTTTGACGTATGTAATCATTAGAAATTGTTACAATTCCCATGCTAAGGTTAGAAAATTACATCCTGCTACAAATGTTTGGAATGTGAAACACTGTACCATGCCTGGCGCTGGGAAAGTGTTCCACCATGTGTGAGTACATTTTATATTCTTGGCTTGTTAGGGAGTACCACAGACCATCCCACAGAGCAGGAGAAGGCAGGAGCAGTGCATTAGACAGATGTACAGTATTTGTATCGGGAACCAATTCAAGTTAACCTCCTGCCAAACCTAAAGCCGCACCTAATTTCCGACGTTATTGGTCAACGACGTGTAAACATAAACATTTCCGTTCAGAGCTGTTATTTTCTTCAGGACTTACTTCCCATCCACAGCGTCCACCACCTTGACGTCTATCTCTTGTGCTTCAAGGGTTCGGAGCATTCGATCTCTGCGGTCCTGCCTGCGCTTCAGGTTTATCAGGAAGATCTAAAGAAACAAGTTCAAGGCAAGTGATTAACCAGCAAAGTCAGGATCGCACATAAGCATTAAAGTTTTGCTTATTTTATATACAATGGGGGAGGAGGGCATATTTCTGTGCTCTTTGTGCGCTTATAATCATGGACAAAGCAGAACAGCACCCTATGTCTTTGGTTTATCCCAGTGCTTTTTGCTTCCATGGAACTTTTCTGCTTTAGTTCTCAGGACACACATAATAATGATATAATAATCCTTGAATTTAATATAGCGCCTTGTCATGTTGAAACGTCTCAAAGCGCTTCACGGAATATACTGTGAAGTGGGTTGACTGTTTATTTTGTGGGCAAAACGTAGTTTCACAATCTGCAAAGCACCTGCTTCCAACATGGGCTCACCTGATGTTAACTAAACAATTTAACCCTTTGTGCGCGACCACGGCATAATGCTATGGGATTACTATTATGATAATCGGTCTAATGATGAGATAGAGGAAGAGCTCAGCAAAAGGGGAAGATAGGGGAAGAGGAGGCACAGAACAACAGAATTAACAACTCGACAATACATTTTTCAATGAAAATAGAAATGAAACTCTTTATATTTTGGCCAAACCTCATCCTTAAGAAGGAATCGGTTCTCTCAATTTAATAAGGGTCCGTGCTGCTTGACTTAGTTTTGTGATTAGGATCCAAATTCTGTTGTTAAGGATCCTGTTGAACTGTAAAAGACCCCCTGGCTTTTCATGCTTCAATAATCATTTCTGACCAAGAGCTCAGAATGACTGTGGTATTAAAGTGGTGCACCTTCTCTCACCTCATCAAATTCCATCTTGTCTGGGTGTTTGGGAGGTACAGAAACAAACTTGGAAGGCTCCATAGCAGGACGGTCGACTGGAATGCAAAAACACAATGAGGAAATACCGCATGCATTTAGCTTTTTATCATACTGTAGCTTTTACAATGTCAGCATTGGCGCGAAAACGCACCTTGAAACTAAACGGCACTGCCAGAATTCAGTCATATAAAACGTGATGTCCAGACTAGTGTGGCTAGAAGCAGATTAAACAAAGAGCAACACCCAGACCATATTGCTGTATATAATGTGCTACAAAGCAAAGGGCTGAGATTACGATTACATGTTACCAGCAGTATCTCCCCTCCTTTGGATGAGTTACCGTCTCCAAACAAGCATCATGGTGTGTGGCTCTGCACACTGTATCCAAACATAATGTTATTTATGACATTGTACTGTCATGTGGCAATGGGGTGCTGTACCTGGTGTTTACCTGGTGTTTGTCATTTGCTAACCCATTTAATAACCTAATAATTAGAACACAATATCAGTAATAAAATAACAGCACCATTCACAGCTTCAGTGTGGGATTACCATCAACTACATTGAGGATCCTGACCAGGGACTGGCAAACAACGGGTCCAAATCAGAAAACATAAAACCACAACCTCCGCACTACATGTTATAAAGATTGTTTGTTGTATGGCAATGATTATCAAGCAGACTGCCATTACAGAATGCTCATAAACACAGAAGTTCTCTCCAAGTACCGAATGCCGATAGCCAACCATTCATTATCACTGCATAGCATTCGTTATCTGGATATAATCTTCTCCAGTTGTTATGCTTAGTGCATTTAGTTCAGGCAGTCAGACAAGATCACAAGAGAGGTTCGGATAAAGAAGTCCTTTGGCCCATCTGATCTCATCCTTCCAGAATACCCACCCATCTGTCCTTATATCACATAATCAAGCCGTTTCTTAATTGAGTTCATGGTGTCAACCACCCTTTCTTGGTAACCTGTTCCCATTGTCAATTACATTCCTTGTAAAGAAATACTTCCTGTATTAAAGGAAATACTTGCTTTTGAACCCTAAACTTGTATCCTCTCGTCCTGCTGTTTTGGGATTACTCTTTTCAATCCCCATTTAGCATTTTATATATGTCTAAAAGGTCCTGTCTGAGATGTCTCTTTTCATGGCTAAAGAGCTCTATCTCATGTTCAGCAGAAAGTGTGAGAGTACTGCTGTGTTTAATGAGCTACAAGCAAACAAACTCTACCCAGTGTCTGCTCTTGAAATGGCTCTTTATGAACCGTATTCAGTGCCTGCTTTTCCTTTTGCCCTGGCGTTTCTGACTCAGGATCTCAATATGCTTGACTTGCACCACAATGTACATTCCAAAACCTCTTGCTCTACTAGAACATAACTTCACAGAACAAAATCGGAACCAGATAATAATAATAATAATAATCCTTGAATTTGATATAGCACCTTATCATGTCTTTGAGATGCTTCAAAGCACTTCACAGAATATACTAAAGTGAATTAACTGTATATTTTGTGGGTGAAGTGCGGCAGCCAATTGCACACAGCAGTGTCCCACAAACAGTCATGGATTGAGTGACCAGATTATTATTATAATTTTTTTAAGGAATTATTATAATAATAAATAATAATCCTTGCATTTGATATAGCGCTTTTCATGTCTTCGACATCTCAAAGCGCTTCACTGTAAAGTGAATTGACTGTATATTTGTGGGCGAAACGTGGCAGCCAATTGCGCACAGCAGTGTCCCTCAAACACTCGTGGATTGAAAATGACCAATTTTTTTTATTTTTGTTTTGGAGGGATTATTATTACAATTATTACAATTATTGTAAAGGGATTATTCGAATTAACAAATCCTAAATACTGCACAATACGGAATCACCAACTAAAGGGTCGGTAGTTGAGTTTCAGCAGGAAATAAGTATGTCTTTGCTTCTTCTTGTGAGTCCTTCATTATTTTTTTATATTCTCAGGGAACGTATGTAGGATTCTGACTGTGTGAGTGTGAATGAGATGTGTGCCTTCCAAAAGAGGCAGATGAGCACATCTGACTGGAGTACAAAGCCTGGTTCACAAAGGCTGGATCAAACCCAACCACTTTCAATCCGAGAGCATTAGATTCATTCCTGCTAGTTGGACCCTGGGATAGTAAAATTCCTGAGCGAACACTTCATTCAGATTTCATGTCTTTCCACTAGTTACAGCTGAGAAAGCTCCAGCTGTTCAGCCATATGTCCCGTATGTTTGCAAGAGACAAGCTGTTGTTTTCGTCTTCACCAGAGTTCGACAAGCTGAAATGATACCAATTTACATCCAAAGAATTTTTAGATGTAATTTGAAATAAGAGGAATCTGGCTACAAAACACATTTGCAGTTATAACCATTCAATGCAAATCCACCCACCTCACCTCATGACACAACTAATGAATGGTGCAATGTATTTCAGTTAACATAATTATTAGTGGGGGTAGTGGGGGCTAGTTGGACAGCTCTTTTAAAGAGCTGGCACAGGCACAATCTCCTCCTTCTTTGTTGTAAGATTCTATGATTAAATTGTTCAATTCATTTCAGATTTTCTTGAAGTAATATTTATTTTTCCCCTCCTTTATAACCCGCACCTCCATTGCTACTCCACAACCACCGAGTGGAGGTGGCTGTGAGCTGTGATAGAGAATGGGGAAGCGATTTGTTCTGCCTGCCCCAGAGATGGAGCGTTCCTCTGCACAGGGAGACACCTTCCGTTCACTGTAATGGAAAACAAGCATTTTAAAGGAAAGGTATAATTGGATTGGGAGACAGGTATGAGTCATATCCAGCAATGGAACTGCTCCAGTGTTAGAATACCAGATGGAGACACTTTGCTTTTTTAGATCTTTGCTTTTCACTTGTAATCCATTAAAAATTGCAGCACGACAAAGCTCAAAGGCATAAGGAATTGATAGACATTTGGTACCATGTACCCGCAGGATACAATTATATCAAACTTTGTCACAAGCAGGTTGCTGCAGTCCATTAACAAGTTGAGTCGGTTACCAGCCAGTTGGCTCAGTCAATGGAACAGATTGAGAGAGTCGAGTGAGCCTAAGCATTCTGCTGATTGGTTTGGGATATTATGCTCCCTTAAACCATCCCAGTGTCTCAGTTAATTTCAAGATTAGTTTATTTCCCGTACTTCGGATTAAGTGATCACAATGTGGAGTAATGGGCAATGGACCTGCAAACCTGTGAGAGGCCGCAGGGGTTCTTAATCTTTGCCTTTGAGAGGCCAAAAGTGGCAAACCCATTGGCTACCCTTCCTTAAGCATTTTGTACAGGTCTCTTGCCACAGGGGACAAGAGGGGAATTAACTACAACTCCACCAACACTGCCTGTTAACAAGGATAGGAGTTTGAACTTGCACAGTCTAGGCTGACACTTCAATCCAACGCCGGAGGTGTGTCGCATTGTTAGAGGTGCTATCCTTCAGCTGAGATGTTAAACCACGGATTGAACTGCCTGTTCATATGGGCTTTAAAGATCCCACAGCACTATTTAAAAAGAGAATGGAGTTTCCCCCAGTGTCTTGATGAAGAATCCCTCTGATAAAATTGATCATTCACTTCATGACTGCTTGTGGGACATTACTGTTTGCATATTGACTGCTGTGTTCCCCTACAAAATACACAGTATATCCTGTGAAACACTTTGAGACGTCTTCCCAATGTAAAAGGCTCTATATGCAAAGATTATTATTAATAATAATAAAAAAGCATCAAAAAGTATCAACCATAGCCAACCGTAGGTAAACTTTGGATGATAGGCTTTGCACACTGGGCTGCGCTTTTTAACCTATACAGGTTAGTAAACCATCCACTGCTTTGCTTGGCGTTTTATCGCAAAGGTTAGGGTGTGCTTAAGGATCAGTTCCCTGCAATAATCATGCAATTCCCTTCACGGCTCTAACCGTGAGCGACTGAACCTGTCCAGCCTTGTTACCATCACACAGAGCTAATGAAAAAGCAAACAGAATTCATTGGGCACCTGAACAAGTTAAATGTTCACGCTTATTAGCTGGGAAATAATGACTCCCATAAATTCAAAAGTCAGTGACTCATATTCTTTTTCTGTTTAAAATAAAATTATTGCTATTGAATGCCTTTAAGGTCATTTTTAAAAAAATATAGGTCACTGGCTAAACTGGTTTGGTCACAAGTATCCTTGTGACTACTTGTATAGTGTTTCAAACGTGTTTACATTGGAAAGAATCCACATTGGTTAGGGCATTTCTTAACGGGATTATACAAGGTTCGCAAAAAAGTGTTGCTTTGCTCTCATGAAGTTGTACAATAGAATAAGAGAATTACAGCACATAAAGTGGCGATTTAACCCATCAAGTCTACTGGTGTTTGCTTCCCCACCACCATTGGAGCTATCTACTTTAATCCTGTTCCTGCTCCATTTCCTATAATCTTCAATATAATTTTTCCTGACGTAACCATCCAATTCCCAGTTAAATGCTATTATACACTCAGCCTGGGTTTAACAACCATTACTTATTAAATAATATTAATGTAGACTCAGTATGACAAATGTTTGGGCTTAACTGAATTACTAAATTAATTACAGTGGCTGCAACAGTATATTAAAAGGTTAAACAGCGCTATTACACAAGGCATTTTTTTATTGCTGGACTATTCCTGCTTTGTTCCTTGCTGCTGATGGCAGATACTATATCTATCTCTCACTTTGTTAATTCCCTAAAGATCGACTCCTGCAAAGTGTATATAATATTGTGGAAATCTGTCCTACACTTAACAGAGATGCACTGCGATGACCTTGATGCATTAGTGTAGCCAATTTAAACTGAAATGTGGACGGGCATTGTGACTCCTACTGAACAGCAGGAAAACTAATGACGCCAACTTGCGGGCAACAAACCGACAGAATCAATGTCCTCATTACCACATGAAAGGATTACTTCGGAACTGCTCTCAAATATCATGCCATGAAAAAGCTGTGTACTGTGAGGGCAGGATATTGTGACACTGCATGTTTCTTTAAACCCAGTGCTTAAAGCAAAGGGAGAGATAAGTGAGTATGCAATGCTCTCATGTCACCCTGTCTCAGTTTCTAATGTGACACAGCCTTACAACGAGCTTGTGAAGGGCGCCAGTGTTGCTGCTATGTGAGACAGACGCCTAAATTAACTTTTTCCATTAGAATCCTGCAGTCAGGCTCACAAATGCAATTTCTCTTTATGAGCCAGCTCCAGTGTGTCCCTTTAATGGTATGCTGCACCCTTAATGTAATGCTCCTTAGCCTTGTAGTAATGAGAAACGCAGTTCATTCACGCTGAGCTGATTGCGAGGGAACATAGCTCAGCTGAAACGCAAGTGTAATGATTAACAAAGACCCTCCCCCAACTCAGCCTTGAGAACTCGACTTACAAAAATTATGTTGAAAATTGGTCTTAAGAAATTGTTCCAACCTGTCAATGTTTTTCCGGACAGTAAATTGGTGTGTGTGCGTGAGAGAGGAAGATAAACACACCTTTAATTCACTGATATTAAAAATATCAAACCTCGTTATTATGGCTTCACAGAACCTGATCTACTCCTTTCTCACTTTGGCTGTCACAGAATTCGAGGTGAATCTATTGACCCACTCAAATGCAGTTGGAGTGCACTGTGATAGATCTGGGTTCAATTGCCGGCAGGATGAAACCTTGGGCAAGTTTCTTTATTCCACACACCTCATAATAATCCCTCAAAAAAAATAATAAATTGGTCATTTCAGTCCACGACTGTTTGCAATTGACTGGCACATTTCGCCCACAAATATACAGTCAATTCACTTTACGGTCTATTCTGTGAAGCGCTTTGAGATGTCAAGAAGACATGAAAAGCGCCATATCAAATGCAAGGATTATTATTACTATAGAGGTGTGAGTGGAGTTTTCATGCGCACTGCACATACACAGAACCATAACCAACTCCCTAACACGTTTGTTAATTACTGAACCTGTTATGAAATGCTGTATTTTTCACCCCTATATATTTCGTGCTTACAGAGCAAAAACGTGCGACTATGAACAAGTACGAAAAAAAGCATTGAAAGTGATACCTACATTTACAGGATTAAATTTGCTTAAACATAAATGTATCCACTCAGTGAATGGAATGGAAATATAGGTGTGTTTGCCAAAAGACATGTTGGGGTTGGGAAACTGTGACTTTTTTTTAAACTGGGGAGTAAGTTATACTGTAGGTTATACTGTTGGAACTGTTACTGTTGCTGCCACTCCCACATACTGTGGGTTTATGATTGGCCTACATCCACCATCTCCTATTATGATAGATCATTGCTAACTCTCACTGCAATCACTAATAGTGGCTCCGAATGTCTTCCTCTAGTTAGTTAAGCAACTGGACAGAATAGTGTGACGAGAGTTTACAGGCTTTGCTTCTCCCCCACCTCCATTTTTAAGCCACCTATTTTGAAAATGTCCTGAACTTAAAAGTCTTGTGACAGATGAAAAGCTTTGTAAAAACTTACTCATTGCTTCAATCAAAACGTGGTTAAAACTTTCAATCTCCTCTTCCAGGGTCTGTTGGGCCTTTAGCGGCACACTCAGGTAGCCGTAGTGCTCCCAGTTGCATATATACATCTGGATACCTAAAGTCGAAAGGAAACAAAATTAACTTGATTAACAGGGCTCGACCTGCACTGGCGTCTTTCAGTGTGGTGTGTAAGGTTCGATTCAGTCGAAGGGAAATAAAGAGTTTTAACATAAACACCTTTTAGGTTGGGAAGTCAACCCCAAAAGGTTTCACAGAATTTGCTGTCAAGTGGAGGGTGTATTTGTAGGGAAACGTAGCAGCCCAATTGCACATAGCAATGTTCCACAAACCAAATGATTAACTTTATTTGGAGAATTGTTAGCCAGGATACCGGGAGAAATTCCCTTCTCTAAACTGCTCAGTATCCAGTGTATCCTGCAAAGCACTTTGAGACAATGAAAAAAGTGCTACGTCAAATGTAAGGATTATATTATAAACCTTATGCTTAAATTAGTCCAGTAATACCTCTGTGTATAATCACTGTATAATGTTTAACTACATTAAACGTCATGCTGTTCATGGAACCAAGGGTCAATTTTATTGCTTTTAATATATTAACAGTTTGCTACCATATTGAGCGAAAAAAAAGTAAAGTGGGTTTAAAATTATTAAAATGTTTATTCCCAAAATACATTGAATAAATGTATTGCTCTTGGGAGCTGAATCTAAGCATTTCCTGCTTTCCATTATATAAGCCTGCCAGAAGTGGGCTGCCACACACTGTGGGTTTATTATTCCAACTGGGTAGACAGCAGATGGCCCAGAACCAAGATAAGGCAAATCACTCTGTATGGAGTAAGACAGATTGTATGGGGTGAAGCTGTACTGCATTCACGTTATTGTGAAGCCCTCTGACACATTGTACAAAGTGAAGCGCTCTCTATATATAAATGCAAGTTGTTGGTATTGCTGTTGTAGCTCGTAGAACATTATTGGACTAACAGCAACCCGTCGGCCTGCCTTTTTGGTTGGTAAATGCAGAGAGAGAAAAAAGTATTACCCTAAAGCAACAGTTTTCATTGTTCACTGCAATCAATTATTGCGCAACAATAAACTATTTATCCTCAGAGTGTTGTCACGGTTGACTGTCCGAAGTTTAAAAGCTGCAAAAGGCAGAATTTATGTAAGCCCCCGAGGAAAGGTCCTGCGTTTGACTAGAACTTAATAAGGTTGGTCTCACTTGTTCTGTGTGATTAGACATATGTCCATCTTATAATCCAGGCCTATAACAAGGGAAAAGATGACAGGTAGCCAACTGATTCCAGTGCTTACTTCCTAGCCTGTGAGTTTGAACCTCAAGGGGATATTCATCTGAACAGGCAGAAAGGAACTTGTTTAACAGCACATCTGAAGGATGGCACCTCAGACAATGCAACAACCCCCCAGCAATGCATCAGAGTGCCAGCTTGCGAGTTCAAACTCCCAATATGGGGTTGAACCCACAATCTTTCGACTCAGTGACACGATTTGAAAAGTGAAGGGAGTGTTTCCCTGTGTCCTGGCCAACAATGCTCCAAATAAATTGGTCACTTGCTTCATGGTTCTTTGTTGGGGCACTACTGCAAATTGGCTGCTGCATTTAATTTACAAAATAAATACTACTTCACAGTACATACAGTGAAATACTTTTGAGTCATCCACCCAATGCGAAAGGTCTTATTATTATTAATCCCAATGGTGTGACTTGCTCTGTATAAATGTACATGGTTTGTTCTGGGAAAAAGTTTACCCAAGCATCTGCTTCACTTATGTTTATTAGCAGAGATCTTAATGTGAAACATATAAGATTCTTAAAGGGCTGGATAGAGTAGACACTGAGGGTCTGTTTACCCTGATAGGAGAATCTATAACCAGGGGTCACAGTCTTAAAATTAAGGGTCAGCATTTTAGAACAGAGTTGAGGAAACATTTCTTCACTCAGAGGGTAGTGAATTCACTACCCCAGAAGACTGTAGATGCTCAGTTCTTGAACATCTTCAAGGCTGAGACTGATAGATTTTTTAAAAATAGAGGGATTAGGGGATATGGGGATAGGGCAGGTAATTAGAGTTAGGTCTGAAGATCAGCCATGATCTTATCGAATGGCGGGGCAGGCTCGAGGGGCTGAATGGCCTACTCCTGCTCCTAATTCTTATGTTCTTATGTTCTTATTTACAGAAATAATTGCAGCCAAATCTGACTGATCCTTCTTCTGGTTTGAATTTGTGTATTCATTGCCCAAATTAAGAAAATACTTTATTCTCAACCATTTTAAACCAAAAATTTACTAGGCATATATAGCATGTGAGATATTGTTTTATTTTAGCTAGGTCTTCGCACTGGCAAGTTTTTTAAACTGAAAGCTCTAAAGATATTTTTCCCTAACAAATTATTTCCCTATTCCAATCTCTGACGGAGAGCGAACAACAATAAACTTACATATCACTTTGCAAGTCTGGATGGTTCAGTGCTGGTGCAGTGCTGTATAATATAAATGACAGGAAGCAACATTCAGTCCATCGAGCCTATGCTAACCCATCTAATGCAGCTTTCTACCCTAATCCCAATTCTCAGCTATTTCCCTACATCGCTTTATGTTGTTTCTCTTCAAATCTAATTCCTTTTTAACTGTTATCATGGGTCATAGCTTCATCCACCTGTGAATTAGGCTGATAATAATAATCCTTGCATTCGATGTAGCGCATTTCATGTCAGGAGGATGTCGCAAAGCAATACATAGGATGTACTGTAAAATGTATTGAGCATGTATTTTGTAGGTGAACACAAACAACCAATTTGCTCGCAGCCTTGAAGTGAAAAGTGTCTCAGGCTCATTATGTTGAACATGTAAACTTTTTAAAAAAGCAAAGACACTTTCAATGTCAATACTTAGATATGGTTTTAAAACCTTGTTATCAAAATGCCAAGGCAATGTCAGCAATTGAGGTGCTCGCTCCAAATTTCTGCATCAGTACCCGACTTGCTCTGTAGCTTAGTGGTTAGAACACTCGCATCACAAGCGAGAGATCCTGGGTTCGATTCCCGAGCAGGGCGAACCTTAGGCAAGAATCCTTACTCCACAAGCTTCTGTTTACCTAGCAGTAAGTAGGAACCCGGTTGTTAGTCGATTGATGGATCGCATTTCCAGAGGTAATATTCCCTTCAAAAAAAAGATTTTTTAAAAAAATTTGGTCACTCAATCCAAGACTGTTTGTGGGACACTTCTGTACGCAATTGGCTACCGCGTTTCTCCCACAAAATATACAGTCAATTCATTTTACAGTATATTCTGTGAAGCGCTTTGAGACACCTCAAAGATGTGATAAGGCGCTATATCAAATGCAAGGATTATTAAGGATTATTATTGTTTGTGCTGTAGCGCAGGTTCCACTAGTTAAAACACATTACAATCTATTTTTCTAGCTGTTAAGCACAAGGCAGCAAAGAAACATCCTCCTAAGGGCAGATTGAGCTGCTCTATGATTGAATCAATGGGAATAATCTTTTTCTCCCCCACAAATTTTGCCATCCAACCATCCCCCAAAAATATGAACACATTAACATTCCCAAATCACTTACTTCACTTCACCACAAACATCCAACAAGATTGCTGTGATAAACTTAACCAAATGCTTTTTTTGGATTATGTAATTCCCTGCACTTGGTCCCCAAGGTCCTAAAGCTCCTGAAGTTCATGAGCACTTGGCTGCAATGGTAATAAATATTCACCTTACGCAATAATACTGTATAACCTAGACTGACTCTTCAATGCTGTACTTGGAGGAGTGCGGCATTGTCAGATGTGCTGTCCTGAAAAGATATTAAACCACCTGTTCAGGTGAACATTAAAGATCCAGTGACACAATTCAAAAAACAGAAGGAGTTTCTCCTGACCTGCTGGCCAACAATGTCCAGTTAATAAATTGTTTTGAGTTTTGACTTTGCAGAACACTGCCACACGTAAAGTTGACTGTGGCTCAGTCGCTACACTTTACAGTAGAGTTCTGTGAAGCTCTTTGAGACGTTTTGACGATGTGTTAAGGTGCAATACTAAATAAAAGGATTATTTTATTAGTAATTATTATTGTTAATAATATTTTTTCTGCCCATCTGCAAACTCTGTAGATCTCAGAGAGTTAGCCCTATCCTCAGAACATCCTGGCTTTCCAAGTGATTCTGAGCAGTCCACAATATTGTAGGTACAGTGTGCCAAACAGAGGTCACAGCTCAATGCTTGTGAAGTCTGCTGCTCTCAGCTTCCCAATTAGAACCATTCCCGTTCATAAGTTTGGTCTTGGTGTCCAATTATGTGGTCAAATAATGATCCAATTTACAACATCCTCCTGGATGCCTTAAGCTTTCAATTTAGATCTGCATTTGTTGTAAAAAATTTCATCAACCATATCTGAAATTCAAGTTACATACACCAACCTGCACTTATGTAGCACCTTTCACACACATGAATGCCTCAAAGCACTTCACAAAGATAATGCAATCACTGCCAATAACTTGGAGTTATTTTACATTCTCAAAGAATTTAAATACGTTTCAGGCATAAACTTGTTTTGTTGTGGATTAAAAGCTACTCCAGTTTAGAATTCGCATCCTCAAGGTATGAATAGAATAATGGTCATCTTGTTTTAGACTGGAGAACAACTTGCATTTATATACCACCTTTCATGCCTGGATGATATATTTTAACTGCAATCAGGGGTTCAGGGTGATGGGAACAAGAGATGAATCTGATGAGATTTGACACATATCCAATTGGAATTGGAAACAAAATCATAATGAAAATAGTATATTGCAAAGAAACTGGGCAATAAACGGAATGGATGTGCTATTGACTCACAAGAGATAAGCAAAATGCCCCTTTCTGATCCAAAATGCCCCAATACCCAGGTAACTCTGAAAAGCTTTTGCCTTCTTATCTGTGATCGGACATTATAGTGTTACAGCAGATGCATATTAAGTTAGTGCATGCAAGTATGTTAAAGAAAAGTAATAAGGGTTTCATCTGTATGCAGTTAGCCAAGTGATATCCCCCTCTGTGAACAACACTGATTAGTCTTTTTTCATAGAGCAAATGAATATAACCAGCGTGAATATTTGAATACATCCAACATGAATTCCTATTCTTAGCAACCTTAGACCTACTTCGAAGGAGCTTTAAAGTATCTGTTTTATACCTCCTCGGGGCCTAATGAAAGCCCGCTGTTGGTGGTGGGTTGATGACTAAAATTGCTAGGTAAATGGGAATTGGATAACGGGAACAGTCTCTATAGGGCCAGTTCCTATTAGAAAACCTTTATTGTACTTTTAACAAGGGTAATGGAAAACCTTTCCCTCATGTTACCCCAGGTAACAAAGCTGTTTCTCTCAGCGTGCTTCCAATCACAAGACTATGGCTGGGGATCCTTTGGGAGGAGTAGGAAATGTCAATTATTGGCAGTAACAAAACTTAAAGCCACCACGCAACTCAAAGGTCAATCTGACTCAATGCCTGATAGGAAAGACCCCCAATTGCCTCAGAGCAACCTCTTCCTTCCCCACCCCGGTTCACTGGCAACAAGACTTTCTGTTCTTTCAACCATGAAACATTCTTTAAGTTATGTACGTGTCCTGCCAACAGAGTCAATGCTTTAATGTATGTGTCATGAAGTCACGTAAAATAACTCAACCAATATGTAAGCTATAGGTGAACGCTAAAACAGAACCTCCCCCATGATCCTGACACACCCCATCCCCAAGCCTTGACACACTCCACCCTTGGGTCCCTAACACACCCCTCACTCAGGCCCTGACACACCCCTCCCCAGGCCTAACACACCCCTTCCTCAAGCTGCTAACACACTCCTCCCACAGGTCCCTGATGCCTACTCACTCACACCCTGACACACTAATAGCTGCAATGAAGCCCATATATTTAAGGGCAAATAATTTCAAATAAGGGCAAGTAAGTGCTCTCCTCTGGTTGGAGAAAAGTGCACACATGAGGAAATGCTTCAACATTAACAACAATTTTCCACTTAAAATGTTCCTTTGAAGAGTTCACCTGGACAGGCGAGATATCAGCAGGGGGGTTCTTTAAATAAAATCACGTGCATACGTCATTATGTACGACTGACTAGAAGAATGCAATAAAATGAAATAAAATTCATTAACTGTTTATTATAAGTCATCCTGCACAAATAGGGTACAAACCTGGACATTTTTCCTATAAAAATTTTGTCACAATCTCTAATGAACGTAGTGAATGGCAGGAGATCAAATTCTGCTTAGGAGTCACTGGTGGTTACAGGCATCCGATTACAGCCATTCCAATTGCTAAACCTTCTGGTTCTTATTATACATGCAATTAATAATCCAAGTTACAACTGAACACTGACCCCACACAGCAACTGATTTAGCCATAAAGTTCCTGCGAGGGACTTTACAAATGGTCATCTGAAAAACTCATGAATATCCACTGCAGTAAATCCAATCCTCAAACAAGTCCAATAAATGTGTTAGCATAGGAAGGCTTTCATAAGCCCATGTTGGCTTAGAGTTATTGCATCACTTCCCAGATGTTTTTAAATTGGATCCTTTGTAACTGTTTCTGATATACCTCACACTACAGATATCAAGCGGGGGTTTGGATCAGGAGGGGTGGAGGGCAGGGAGGTAGGGGAAGGAGGGTGACTGAAGACGTAGTCGAAGAGAAGGGTCTTGAGACGGGTCTTGAAGGAGGCAAGGGAAGGGACAAGGAGAAGGGACTGTGAGATGGAGTTCCAAAGGGTGTGGGCAGAGAGACTGAAGTGTGTGGAGCGGACAGGTCTATATGGAGTTAGCAGGTCACAGAGGTAGGGAGGAGAAATAATAAACAGATTTATTGCCCGTTAGTCTATTGGCATTTCTAAGCTTCTCTTCCTACCTGTGTTTTTTAAGAATTTTTCTTAAAAGGCATCAATTAACAGCAGCCTTCAAATCTGCCATAAGTGAGCCATTTTTAATACACCGAAAAATGATTAAAATACATTTTTAGGATCTTTCCGTTACCTCTTACTGGTAACATCTACTCGTGTGACTAACTGGGAGAGTCTTGGAATACTGTAATGTAGTGGGAGGTTGGAGTTCGCTATGCATTGGTGCTTCAGCTTGCTTTGAATCAGCTGGTCATGCTAAATGGAGGAAAGTCTGATGTTATATCAGGCACACAGCCATTACAATGGGCTGATTATTCATGTGTTCAAGGGGAAGCCTTCTACACATTAAAAATGTGGCATATTAAAAATGTTGTCTCCTCAATGTATCAAGGTATCCATAAATTCCATGGGCTAAGGTTTGACTGTCATTCACTCAGCCAGACTCAAACAATCTCTAAACAATGATAATAATCATCATCCTTACATTAGATCTAGCACCTTTCATGTCAAGAGGACGTCTCACAGGATATACTGTAAAGTAGTGTGACTGTTTTTTTTAGGCGAACACAGCAGCCAATTTGCACACAGCAATGCCCCACAAATAATTTGGTGCAGGTTGGCAAGAGCCAAAGTTTTGTGGGAATATTGGTGTGTAACTAGCTGAAATCGCACTGCAAGCATTGTCTGGCAAGCATTAATAACTCTCCAGCTCTTTGATAACAATAATAATAAACCTTGCATTTCATATAGCACCTTGTTACTTTGTTGAGACATCTCAAAGTACTCTACAGAATATATTATGAAGTGGATTGACTGTGTATTTTGTGGGCGAAACACTATAACATTAAAGCCTGGGTGTATCTGTTCATATAAACAACAAACCATTACCTGCTTCCCTGGCGCTGAAGGCAAAGACAATAATGTCGTCGAAGGCCCAGGTGTAGTCTGAGTGAGGCGGGTAAAAGGCCAGGTGATTGGTAGCTTCCCTGCGCAGGTCAATGAGGAACGTTGAGTGGATCATTGGAACAGGGTAGCAACCCAAACGTTTCCACTCCCTGATCGGAACATAGTCAGGAGTCCTTTTGTAGTATCCCTGAATATCAAAGCAGGGAAACAGACAAAGACATCTGACTGGAGAAAGGACAATCCTTGTAGGTTTGTGACTTGACTTACTGTGATAAAAATTGAATGGCTATTGCAGTACACAGCTAGCAATGGAAATCCTTTGAACGGACCAGTAACACAAGTTTTCTTTCCTTAGTCCTCAGTTTATAGAATTCAGTACAACAGATGCAAAATACATTACATTTATTTCTGACTTGCTTACAATGTAAATCAGTTTTCTGGCTCTGCTTGTAGGGTTGAGGACATGTCTGCATCTCCACATCTACCCCAGATTACTGAGGCCCTTCCTGGCTTCTCCTCAGAACTTGAAGAGCACTAATGGACATAATAATATTTTACTGGCAGTATATATTAAAAATAATAATAATCCTTGCATTTGATATAGCACCTTATCACATCTTCGAGACGTCTCAAAGAGCTAAAGTGAATTGACTGCATATTTTGTGGGCGAAACACGGTAGTAAAGTCCCACAAACAGTCACGGATTGAATGACCAAATTATTATTGTTATTTATTATAGTTAGAATATAATTGCTCAACGACTAATTTTTATTCATTAATAATTTTGTTCACTAAGAGTTGGATTTAGAATCGCTTTTTTAAAGCCACTCTCTTTACGCTCCATTTTACCCTCCTCTCTGCCACCCTACTCTGCCACCCTCCTCTCTGCCACCCTCCTCTCTGCCACATCCACCACAGTGAAGCAGTTGCCTCAGCTTACCTGTGGGGTCATCCCACACCAGAAATTGGAGTACAAAGACCGAGATTCCAGCATCGGAGCAACAAGAGTTAGGTTCTCAGCGATCATTAAATTCAATGTCTGATCATTTGTCAGGAAGTTGTCGCTGTCCACAAACTGGAAGAAAACAGAAACGGTCAGTCAGTTGTCACTAAGAACAGGCTGGTCAATCAGTCACAGCTCGTCAGTCAATCAGTAAGTCATTTAAGACCAGTCTCATTAAGTTAGAGACTACCAGTCAGTAAACTTCAACATACTTGAGGAAAGAAACTTAGAGACACACACACAAAAACTAGTATTAGTTTTCCTCTTGTGTCAAGCAATGATCCATCAGTTCCCTTATATGAAAAGTACGGAGCTGCTTCCCCTTTTTCTCAAATGTACAGCAATTCTAATGGTGGCAAGATGAGAAACTCAAAATGCAATTGCTTGTAAACCGAGATCGGAGGAGTTTTGTAGAATGACTGAAAGGGACGCAGTTCCAAGTGATGGGACTCACTACAGGGATGACTGAATGAACTAGTCACTCCTTTCTTCCTACAGTACATTAATGTTACGGAAGATAAAATCCAGGCTACAGCTGCATGTTAGTTCTATTCACAGATGGAACAGTGCTGTTCATGGGGATTAGTACAGATGCGGCCAAGGGACTGTCACCAGACAATGTGTTGCCTTTTGAGCAATTTAGTGAACAAATATGGCAAAGGATATAAGGATTTCTATGCTCCTGGGACCTACTAGTGGAGTGGATTGAGGCAGGGGGGAGAATATAATGTATAGAAGCAAGGAATCCAGGTTTCACTCAAGCATACGGATGAATATTTTGCAATGTTTGGGATATGAATGAAGATTTTGACTGCTTTTGGAGTCAGGGAATGCTTGTGCACTACTATCCACCAGGCAAATGTAGAATCCATTAAGAAATTTGACAACTGATTGATACGATATTAATTTCATCTGATATGGAGAGAATTCATGTGAAGTGATGAAATGGAAAGTTGATGCTGTGTTATAGGGTGACAGGACGCTAACTGAGGTCTGTGTTGTTTGAAACACAATTTTTGCGAGTTGTAAATGGACTGGTAACCAGCCAGCAAGTGTTTTGTGTACCTGGGCACGTGGCAGATCTGAGCTGCCAGGATGAGTCATTCAGCCAGAGGCAGGAGCCTGAGCTTCTGTTGACTCTAATCTGGCTTCAGGGTCGCTAGAACCAAAATCATCATCCGTATGGAGTTCCAGCGGTTCAGCCTCAATTGCAGCAATCGACAGTTATAAATCCATCAACAATCGTCACATATTAACAAACCAACCAACCAACCAGCTCACAAGCTAGATCATTTGTTCACTCACTCACCAGGATGTATTCTGCCCATTTGTCCCTCGCTGTCTTCATTGCTGATTCCCTGAGCTTCATCACGTGCGTGAACCTAGAATTGGTCCAATGTTTTGGCCCCACTTCATCATTATAGAACCTGAATGGCAACCAAGAGTTATTGGATCAGAGGCAGGAATGAGAGCCAGCCTTGGCAAGAGTTAGCAAGCACCATGCCAACATTTCTTTTCCCACAACAGGACAACGCAATCCAAACGTTTGATCAATCATCTCAATCACTCATTACTGATGGTTAAAAGGCACTGTGAAAAAGATGCAAATGACAGCAAGTGTCCCAGCACTCAGCCAGTACTTCATCTTAAACAGAAATTGTTGCAGAGGAATTATTAAACTGTAATCTTTCTGCAGGTTGTGACTCATGGTTTTCCGTTGCGTTATGGTTTGGTTCACATACAACACAGAACATTCAACCCAACTGAAGCAAAGCAACTACAGACACTCACAGAGCAAACAAAGCACAGGAAGTGACCAAGAAAGAGTTTTGAACTTGGGGTTTAACACAATGGGAATGAACGGGAAAGGGTTTAGTCCATATGGAAACTGTACAACAACATTGAAAGGGAAAGGATTTGGTCCATTGGAAGTCTACCGCACTTGCATTGCCAAACCTCGCTTCACAACTTGGAGCTGCTGCAGTGCACATGGATATACAGTGTCAGGTTTATCCACCAATTTCTGTGCTTACTAAATATGTTTATGATAAATTGGTTACCCGGCCTAAGCCAGTGCAGTACCCCAGGCTTTTGGTGTACTATGTGAACATTGCATAATGGGTTCAAAAAGAAAATAAAACGCCTGGCATACACTTTTTTCATGAAGTTCCCCTTTTATGGGATTCGAAATTCCACTGAAACACTTCTCTATGTTAAAGAACACAAACTGCTTTGCAATCAATGTTTCTCTAGAATGAAATGGAAGCTGTGTAAAAATACGGCTCTGGTAGTTTCAAAAGGGACACTTAGTTGTTGGAAAGGTTCTGTCACTTACTTGGGTTCCTCCATTGGCCTCCACTCCACATAATGGTACAAATACTGCACATTCTGTAACCATTCCCGCAGGACTGCGGTGGTGTTGTCAAGGTTGTGGTCTGTGGCCGCCCTACGAAAGAAGAGCAGTGGTGGTTGAACAAAGTCCCATCGCTTCAGAGTTTGCAACAAATCAGACTGCAGACGGTTCTGCAGCAGTTCTGACCCGATACACAATAATGCTGGATGGCCTCTTGGATAATAGGCCTGTGCATTACTCAGCCATTTAGACTAAAAGAGCCCACGATTTGACCCTGACCTGAGCTATGTTAATTTTTCTCAACCAGGCAAGCATGACTCTCCAGTACCTTTTAAGATGTGACAGTTCTCCTGCTTGAAAAAGCTGCACCTTAAAAGTTCCCCATTTGCGGTGGATAGTATAGGAGATTCCACCTTTAGTACCATTATTGAGACATCTTGAAGACGTGATAAGGCGCTATATCAAATACAAGCATTATTATTATCATTATTCATCATTACAGTAGAAGGTATTAAGGAACAGAGTTTAGCTGTTATTATGTTGTCCTGTTATGTTGCCTGCACTATTCAAACTGATCAGGTTGATGCTGTTGAACCATAAACCTGCCCAAACACAATCCTGCCTCCCTCTGAATGGGTCAATAGAATTATTTAGTTTGAACGTCTAGAATGTTACAACCACGTGTTTTATACTAACGTCCTACATTTTCATTAAAGGGGGCATTGTTGTTAGGAATTTTTGACTTGCAAGCCAGAAATTCCGGATGCAAACAGTGTCCGCTTTAGCACCACTGTGCAACGTGGCAGCGGAATGAGAGTCCACAGCCGACTGATCGGGATCAGCTTCAAGCTGGCTTCAGTGTGAAGATGTTCACTGTTTATGTGACACAAAATGTACTGAGCACTGTGAAGGGCTGAGAGTGACTGATGAGAATTGCTGTTTACTCCCAGATTCAGATGATATCATTAGCTGTGAGGGCAAAACCCCAGCAGTATATTTTCCCAGCAACACCAGAGGCAGTAATTTCAATGCACCATCAACTGCACTTCTTAAACTGTGTTTATTTTTTTAAAAAAAAACTTTATTTTGGCAAACGGATTTTCATTTCTCCTCTAAAAGCACAGGTTAATATGCTAGAGCATGTACCTGGAGCATCATATGCCCTCCAATACCTCGCCCAAGTAGTCACTCTTCATGTAGTTACTGGGTCTTTTGTAGGTTGAATTCTCCCAGTACAACAATGTCCCACGAACAGTTATGGAGTGAGTGATACATTTTATTTGGGAAATTGTTGGCCAAGACACCAGGAGAAACTCCCTTCTCTTTTCGAAATATTCCATGGGATCTTTAACATCTGTCTAAACAGGCAGACGCCTTAGTTTAATGTCTCACACAAAGGATGGCACTTCCAAAAACGCAGCACATCCCCAACACTGCACTGGTGTGTCAACCAAGACTACAAATTTAAAGTGCCGACGTGGGGCTTGAACCCAGAAGCTTCTGACTGAGGTGAGAGCGCTCCCAAATGAGCCAGGTAGACAGCACTGTGTGTCTGTTAATAAGTAACAGAAATTGAAACAGAAGTAACAGAAGACTGTGAGAGCGAGCTGTGGGGTGCTCCTGGCAGAAAAAACACTGTCACCTGGTTCACAGGACAGAATAAGTCAGGATATTATTCATGAGCTTTGAATCATGAATCAGAAAAGACCACAGAGACTTATTCCCAGTCACTGCTGGCCACCGTACTGGGTGAACAAACAAGAAAAGTAAATGTTATTTTTCCACGCTAAAATCCAACAGAACCTCACTCTTATAGCAACACTGAAAACATGGCATCAGCATTTTAGGCTTACTGACACCAGTGCAGATTATTGGAACTAACTCCATTCACAACACACTGGTGTGTCTCGGCTGTAGGTGAAGTGGGTTTAGAGTCAAGCTGAACCACCGCTAGTAAGTCTAGTGATTGATGCAGTAATACCATGGGTGGATGTACTCATCAGCCTTCTCACTTTCCCGTGGTGGCTTATTATTTTCCCTTATTGTCCATCCTTCGAAGTCTATCAACAACAACAACTTGCTCTTATGCAGAGCCTTTCATGTAGGAAAATGTTTCAAAGCACTTTGCAGGAGATTGAGCAGAATAGGAGTCGATGGGGAGTGGGGAGAGGGAGAGATCATGGAGTTGGAGGAACGATGCAGTCAAAGAGATCGGATTTTACGCGGCATTTGAGGGAGGGTACAAGGTGAAGGGATGTAGGCAGAGAGTGCCAGTGATAGCGGGACACAGTAGCTATCATACACCAATCCCATTATATATTATGCATTTCCCATTATAAAGGCATACTGAAGAAATTATTATTGTAGTCCCCAGAGGACAATAAATTTCTCAGTGTTTTTTCTCCTGGTGAAAGATGAACAGGCGTGTCAGTCACATCAGGCTGAAATGTAGGAAATGCATGAAAAATGCAAACATATGTATGTGTGTGGATGGGATCTTGCACAATGATTCACCTTGATGTAGTGGCATATTCAAGGATTTTTCCAAAAGATAATCCTCAAATCCCACTGAAAGAGCCCTCTCCCAAAGAAAAAAGGACCACACATTCATTATACGTTACAAAGTCTGCCGCACAATGTGCATGTAATAGACATAGGACCATGATCAGGTCAGATGCTAGAGAGGTAGAAGAAGAAAATAATACAAACAAGAGGCTTAAAATAATTCTTTCAATAATTTGCAGGGTAAGAAAAACTAACTCTATGACCTCCCCTTCTCCCTCACTTGGCATCCGATCCCGTCTATGTGAAGTGCTCAGAGATGTGATCCTACTTAAAATGTGTGTCAACCTGGTGCAGTGGTAGCATTCTTCCCTCTGAGTTAGAAGGTTGTGTGTTCAAACTCCATGTCGGGACTTGAAATCACATGGTCTAAGATGACACTCCAATGCAATGCTGGGGATGTATTGCATTGTCCTTCGAATGAGACGTTAAACTTACGCCTGTCTATTCAGATGTTAACGAGTTTCTCTGGTGTCCGGGCCTACAATCACCCAAATAAAATTGGTTACTCAATCCATGGCTGTTATCGACATTGCTGTGTGCTACTGACTGCTGCGTTTTATCCACAAAATACAATGTATCCTGTCAAGAGCTTTGAGATATTGTTGGTGTGATAAGGCGCTATATCAAATGCAAGGATTATTATTATTTAGAGGGCTGTACAAATGCAAGTTTTTGTTCTTACAGTGCAACTTAGGGTGGGGGATGAGGGCCAAGAGTTCTTTCCCTGCACACCTCTGTCTCACAGCCCCAACTGCACTGGTGAGAAAGTAAAACTGGTTNAAAAAAATGAAAAGATTGAGGACAGGAAATAGATATCACACATTCTTATCTTCTGCCCAGTAGCCTCAACACGCAGATAACAGCCACTAAAACACCTGTATTTTCATGTCCTACAGCTGGGGGTTTCAGTTTTGAGAGAAGTAAGGTGACTGCGATGCCCAGATCTAGAGACTTGAGGGACCAAAGGGAGACCTTCAGGAACAAGGGCATTGTCAAATTGGATCTCTGTTGGACATTCAGTGAAAAACAAAACACTAAATACAGCTTGCTACAACACATGTGGTCCAAGCAACACACAATGCTTGCTTGTCCATAAGCTCCCATGCATAGAATAAAGGCAGTCTAACACATTCAATAGATAACAGCTCTGCTGTTATCTGATGAATGTGTTAGACTGCTCCGCTCCAACTATTTTCCCACAAGTCATGAGCAGATTAAAAATCAGTCTACAAGTAACTATAAATTGGTTCCTGCTGGTTGTAATGTGGCCACTCCATAACTGCGCAACCTCCCACCCTCACCACACCACACTCCCCCAAGGTTTGTGGTCAGTCAGCACAACAAAACAGACCTGAGCCTCACCTATAAAATAGCTTTATAAAATAGCCCACAAGAAAATGTTACACAATTACCACCAGCAGCACACAAATAACAGAGAATCAAAACCACAATAAAACAAGCCACTCTTTACAAGCTCACTATCTCTCTGGACTCCAGCAGTACCGCAACACACACTCTGGGGTCCGTAAGTCTTGGCTCTTGCCTATCTGCACTTAATACTTTCTGGAATTACCTTAGCAGGATACCTCCCTCCAGGGAGAGAGTGTGCATTCCATTCCAACTATCTATCTCTGGAATTTGCATGTGAAGGTGGGATGCATGGAATTCTCAGCTTGGTTTGGATATGCTTAAGCATGGTGATTGCTTTCCGCATGCGTCAGACACCCAGGTGACAAAACAAAATTGTTTCCTGGCTCACGATGCAACAGCTGCAGTGAGCACTCTGATATCCAAACATGACCCATCATCTCACAAGTAACACAGACCCAAAATATCACCATAGCTTGCCACTGAAGGCACTGACTGGCAAGATTCCCATTGTTTATCCAGTTAGGACCACTCCATTAAGCCTTTGACTTACAGGGTTAACAGGAGACGAGTAGGAAGAATTGCTGCTCCCACCTGCAAATCCTGCCGATGAGCCTTGTAATTAAACCAATTAATTTAAATGAATAAAATTAATTAATTACATAAATTCTTAAATTAGAATTCTTAAAAACAGCTTTGCTTTTAAATGATGAACCAGCTTACGAAATAACGACTGAATTCAAGAATTTTCCACAATTCAACGAGATCTTATGTTTCAAGAAAAGTGGCCTTAGAGGCTAAGAACAGGTGGAATTTGGGCCTCTGGTGACCAGCAACTAAATAATTTGGGAACTACAGTGTAAAAGCTAGCCTAGCCACAAATAACTATCATTACAAATCTCCATGATTCAGCCTCCTACACTCACAGTAAAAACTTAAAATGTTTAATTGAGTTCAAAATGGTTATTTGAAATGCTTAACACAGCACCTTTCCTAATTGTATAGCTTAGCGTTGTATGGGGCGTCACCTTTACCCACTAGAAAAGGTACTGACTCAGTTCAATATCAGGAAATGATCCCTTTTGATGAAATCAACCAGGTCAGCTTCAGAGAACACATGGCAGGGCAAGTAAGCCAGCAGGTGGAAACTTGTGCATTAG